AAATCAAAATGCAGAGGGGAGAGGAAAAAGCACAAAATTGTGCTTTTGCAGTACAGGGAAGGAAGGAACTTTGCTCAGAGGGGAATTGGGAGGTGGGCAGTCAGCCTCCTGGTTGTTGTCTTGTGGAGAAGCGACCCATCCTCCTCTGTGGGGTCTGAGTCCCAGCACTCATAGCACAGGTGGGAGCTGTAGGGAGGTCAGTCTTGTTAACTTACAAGGAAGCTCTCCAAGTGGTAAACCCATCTGAGAACAGAATGTGGTAGTGACTTTCCTGTCTCTGAAGGTGATCAAGCAGGGACAGACAGGGCAGGCCACTTGGGATGCTAAGGAAATGCCTGCATTAAGTGGGGTTTGCATTGGATGACTTGGGGGAATCAGTTCCAATGCAGAGAGTTGACCAAGAGTTAGGGAGTTACGTCAAGGTCCTGATCTGGGCCCTTATGTTGCTGTATTTTCCAGTGCTCTGAGAGTGCTTTGGTGCTTGACCCTGCCCATCGCTACCCACAATGCTGCTTGTAATCACAGGTGTATTTTCACCTTCTACACGTGGCCATAATTCTCTCCTTAGCCCATAGCTTTCTAAATAGCATTACACTTGGCCTCCAACCAGGTCTCTTTCTTGTCTTGAGCATGGGACACCCAGGAGACAGTCCTCTTCCCCTGGCTCAGGCCCAGGCCTGCCAGCTCTCTGGAATGGCAAGTTCTCCTGAGCCCTGATCACCACCAGGTACCAATTCCTTTCCCCACTTGCCCCACTCAGACACAAGCAGAGGCTCCTGTTTCTGCTCAGGTAGCGCACTGTGCTGGAGCTCCTGGACTGAGGCAGATAGCACAAGGGCATGGTGGGTGAGTCCACCATGCCCGGGGTCCAGCCTCCTGCCTGAAATGTGGCCATTGACATGGAACTGCAGTCCTTTGGAAAAGGGAATGTGGCCAATTTAGAATGACAGAGAGGTGATTAACAGACCTACAGGGCTCTGCAGTGGCCCTGGAGGTAGAGGGGCATGGTTAGCACATTGCACTTCACTCCCTTCTTCCTGAGTGTCAAGGAATTGTGGCTGTTGGGAACCTCTCACAAAAAGTGCTTTGCACTTCAGCACTTACAGAGACAGGGGCTCCACTCCTTGGTATCAGGAAAGTTGGACCTCTGTGCTCTGCCAAGCAATCCCCAGTCTGGCCTGTTTTGGGGGAGATCACATTGGAGTCTTGGTAAATTTTCATGTTCTCTAAAGCCTTGGCACCAGAAGGCATCTGCTTAGCTAGAAAACAGTGTAAGCTTTAATATCTGTTAAAAACTAAAAACAAACAAACAAACAAACAATTCTTGTCTCTTTTTGATAAGCAGGGAGAACCCTGGTGAGTTTCCTCACTTTAAGACACCAGCTGGCAGCAAGCAGGAGGGGGTGTCCCCTGATTGGCGGAACACTGAGCAGGGTTGTGAGCTCTCTACCCAGTGATGGTTGCATAGTGGGAAGGGGGCTGATGTGACAGACATTCTTCCTTATCAAACAGAACATTCTTGGGAAGATAGGAGGCCCAACACTCTGAGCTCCTGTTGGCTGAGAAAGTGGTGGAGGCTGCAGACCATCTTCCCATCTCTCCACTTCTGCCTCCCACCAGGGCTCACAGCCCTGTACCTACCACTGCATACCCCCAGGCAGTGTGAGCAGGTTGTTCTCCCCACCCACTGGAACTTTTGATGAATGTTAAAGATCTGCATTCCATCAGTTCTTTGCTTATGGAATATCTAGTTTCCCTCACCTTGACTGATACTCTGAAAACCCAATCTTCAACTCCTTTGCTTTGTCCATGGTCCTTTCAGCCCCAGTCCATGTGGAGTCAGAAAACCTTAAAGGTGGAGAGGCTTCAGGGAACTGTAACTGTATTGTGAGTCAGCCGGGAAACTTGTGCAAGTGTGTGTTTTTGTGGGCCTTGGGTAGGATCGAAGGGACGGCATGTGTAGCAAGCTTATGGGACATGGATGTTGTGGTCATTTTACAGATGTGAAAGTGGAGGCCAGAAGGCATTATGATCCACCTATGTCTACACAAGTACAGCTCTGTGTGTCCCACCTGCAGCCCCCCATATGCTTCACAAAGGATTCCTTTAAAGCAGCTCTTCCTTCCTGCACAGCCCCTGAGGATTAGTATGACCCTCGCATCCCACCTTAATCCCATTTCACTCTAGGATGAAAGAATTCTTCTTTCAGGGACCCTTGCTTCAGTCCGCATTTTTATCACCTCCAAAGGGGTTTTCTATTTAAAAAAAATTATTCTGGCTGATGGATGCCTACTTTTCTCTGCAGAGATGTTAAAAATCATCTCTTTTAAAAAATGGACCGAGCATCCTTTAAAGAACCGTTTTTGCTCCAGGTTGGTTAACTGGCTTTGCACTAAACTCACTTCTCCTTTTCTTCTTTTGCACCCCCCTCAGAGGTCCGTGACAGGTTTCACGTTCCTCTGCTCTATCCTGCCACCTCCCAAGAGAGCCCAAGCTGGAGATCTGGACTACACCTCAGTCTCCTTGCCTGTGGAACTGATAATTCAAAAGCCAATCACAGAACAGCACTTGAAGTGGCAGGGAGATTCCCAGGGGACAAGGACACCAGGGACTGGCCTGAGGCCAGTAGGAACTGGTTGGAGAGTCCAAGGCTGTCTCCACTCTGTCCCCTCCTGCTGGCAGGAGGGCAAAATGCCATTCTGGGGACACAGCCATAATGGCGACAGGGGGTAAAAGTCTCACTGAGGCCAAGGGAAGGGGAATGTGACGGGAAGTCGGGAAACTCCCTTTTATAGGCATGTTCTTCTCAATCTTTTTTTCAAGTTTACTCCCAGCGACAGTGCCCCCTTGAAGACATCAGTCCCGCCCGTGGTGGAGGCTAGGCTAGGCTGGTTCACCCGTGAACCTCTTCCCCCATCCTGCCTGCAAGTTGCATGACCTGCATCAGAATCCACAGGGGGGCGGGGGAGAATCCTTTCAGATCCTGGATGCGGCTGAATTCAATGCATTTTGCTTCCTTGCTTGCTCTCATACAAGCCCGGAGAGGAGAGCCCTGCTTTCTTCTGCGCGTGAATGCTGTAGTGTGTCTGCCTGCTCCGGCTACCCTAACCCTTTCTTGTCCTCTCCCACTGCGAACGCCCAGCTTTTCTCGGCAAACAGCTCACACTTGGTATCTTTTACGTCTTATTTCATGTTTTAATTATTTAAAAAATTAATCTCCATCAAGGCAAAAAGCCGGGACGCCCCCTCTTCCCAGAATGGATCTGAGCTCGCGTGGAAGGCTGCACCTGCTTTGCTCTCCTACCAGGAAGGGGTGCTTGTGTGGGAGGGAAGAAGAGAGGCTCTGCGCCCCCGAATCCGGAGCTAGCAGCCCGCCCGCCCCCTCACCCGGCAGCCAGCTCAGTGCACCCTAGAGCCGAGCTCGAAGAGCCGCCCTCTGACGGTGCCGGCGTGGCGCTTGCCAAAAAATGCCCCTTGCATCTCAATTTCCCGGTCGCTCCTCTGGCAAGCTCCGCTCGCCCAGAGCCTCTCGGCTCTCCAGAGCAGCCCACTGGGGCTCTGTCTGCCTTCTCCGCCCCCTGCGTGCCCAAGGCCAAGCACAAAATCCACTACCCCGAAGGCGCAGTGGGCCGGGAGCACCACAGCGCCGTGCCCCCCGCAGTCCCTTCCCGGCAGAGTCCAGTTCCCCGACTCTCTTCAATCGCCGAAACGCGTGTCATTCTGCTCTAGGTCTGCACCTCTGCGGCCCGGGCTCCGCACGCCTCTCTGGGGTTCCCGTGCGCTCCCGCTGCCCCCGGCGCCGTCCGCGATCTTGCGGCCCCCACCCCGGATCGGGAGCGCTCCTCGGTCACCTCGGCCGCGTTCATTTCACTTCCTCCCGCGGTCGAGATTGCAGCAAAACCGAGCAGCGTGAGGGCCAAAAAAATAAAAAAAATAAAAATAAAATAAAATAAAATAAAAGTGGAAAGGAGAGCGCCTTTCGGGGCGCGTAGGCAGCTTGGCCAACTCTCCCTCCCCGGCGCGGACCCTCGCAATCTCAACTGCAACTTTTTCCCTTCTGCCTCGTTTTCCCCTGGGCTGCGGCGCGCGGGGCGCGGAGCCGCGAGGCGTGGAGCAGGCGGGCGGCTGCGGGTGGCGTGCCGGCGAGAGAGCTGCGAGCCTGCGAGTGGGTGGGTGGGTGGGGAAGGAGGAGGGAGAGGCCGGGAGGGAAGGAGAGGGGTGTGGGGAGGAGAGGGGGTTGATTCCGCTCTCCTGCCGCTCCCAGCCCGAGCAGGGGGCAGGGGGAGGAGGCCGCGCCGAGGCAGGGGAGGAGGGAAGAGGAGGAGGGAGGGAGCCGAGGAAGACGCTCCGATAAGCCGTGCGTTTCGTAAGGCTTGGAGCACTTGTACATTTCTGCAGGCGCGCGGCGAGCCATTCGCGTTGGCTGCAGCAACTCGGACTGCATCGTCCTCCTCCTCCTCTTCTTTCTCCTCCTCCTCCTCCTTTTCCTCCTCCTCCTCCTCCTCCTCCTCCTTCCTCCTGTTCCGGGTGTGTGCCTGTGTGAATGTATGTGAGTGTGTTTGGCAAGGTGTGTCCGTTTTAATTCTGCCCGGTAGGTGGGACTTGGTGACTTTAGCACCATTTCTCCTTTTCTTCTCCCCCAACCTTTTTATTATTATTTTGCTTCCCCACCGTCTGTTGCAACGCTGCTGCAAAGTCTCGGAGTCGGAGAGCGTGCCTTGCTTCCGGAGCCCCTGGACCCGGCCAGCCGGCGAGCGCCGAGCGGGCCACCATGCCCGGCAGACCGCGCCACTAGGCGCTCCCAGCGGCTCCCACCCGGCGGCGTCCGCGATGGTTTCAGACGCTGAAGGATTTTGCATCTGATCGCTCGGCGTTTCAAAGGCACAGGCCCCCTCCCCCTTCCCCCCCTTGCTGTCTTTGTTTCCTCCCCCCTGCTCTCCCCACTCCCCCCCACCCCCCTCTCCTCTCCTCCTCCTCTTTTTTAGAAGCAGCGATCGGAGATGGATGTCTCTCTTTGCCCAGCCAAGTGTAGTTTCTGGCGGATTTTCTTGCTGGGAAGCGTCTGGCTGGACTATGTGGGCTCCGTGCTGGCTTGCCCGGCAAATTGTGTCTGCAGCAAGACTGAGATCAATTGCCGGCGGCCGGACGATGGGAACCTCTTCCCCCTCTTGGAAGGGCAGGATTCAGGGAACAGCAACGGGAACGCCAGCGTCAACATCACGGACATCTCAAGGAATATCACTTCCATGTAAGTCGGGGGCGGCTGCTCCCCACCCTCCTGCCCTCGCTGCTCTGCGTGCCCCCCTCGTCCGCTCGCGGCCGGGAGCCGGCCCTGGTCCTCCCTAGCTCGCCCCAGCTCGCCGCTGCCCATCGCCGCCCGCCTGGCGCGCGCGAGGCTCGCTCGGGCTCGGGAGGCGCTCCGGGCCGCGGAGCCCAGGTGACGCCGCCGTCCCTCCGAGTCTGGATCGGAGGATGCTGGCGGGTGCCTCTCCAGGGAGAGGACCCTAGTCGGCCCAGGGCACTCGGGGCCCATCTCCCGCCGTCGCCCCCGCCAGCTGACGGCTCCTCTCGATAGAGCGAATGGGGTTCTTTGCCCCCACGAAATAGCAACAGTTTGGCCACGCTCAAGTGGAATAAAGTAGATCAGGCTGGATTCTCTGGCAGAAGCGGCGGAGGCAGCGCTTAGCTGAGAGGGAAGGTGACAGATAGGGACTGCGGGACCCAGTCGAGATGCTTGCACTGTTTCTTTTTGGAGACAGCTAAACACGCTGTCAAGTAAACAAGTTGGGAGCTGGCTGCTCTCAGGGAGACTTTGGACGTGTCCAGGCTGTCATGGACGCCTGCCTCTTCCCTTTCCCTGTCGCCTGCCCGCCCTCTCCAGCCCATATCGGGCATTTCCGAGACCTACCCTCCTCTCGCTGCATCTGGGGGCCTATAGATCTCTTCCTTGCTAGGGCGCTGATAACTGCTCCGGATAATTCCGAGCCCCAGGCCGGATGGTGAAGGGAGAGGTGAGGGCGTGCATTTGGGGAAGGGGCTTCTGTGATCTTGCAGAGGATCCATGTATTTGGGAAATTGAACTCTGGCTGGCGTTTTCCTGGTTCTGCCCCATCTGAGTGTGACCTGTGGTGGCCTGCTCTTTTCTTCATGTTATTTTTCTTCTGTAGGATTGGGGGTGGGGAGAAGAGGGCAAGAGCTCAGGGGTACCTGCCCATCCTTTCTTTGACCCCTCAGTGGCCAGGTGATCCCCTCCCATCCGGTCCCCATGGAGAAAGGCTGGATGGCTCTAGCATGCTCAGAGGATCCCTCTCCCTGTTTTCCTGCAAGGCTCTTGTCTCTGGGGAGCCCCCAGGAGTGGGCAGGATGCTGAGAAAGGTTTGCCTTGGCATGTTGGCCAGGGTCTGAGGAAGGCACCTCACAGGCAGGAGGCTGAAGGTGCCATTGCGCTGCTCACACAGCCTCAGCCCTCCCTTTGCTTGAGCCTGTGCCATGGGGCTGTGAAGCCTGGAGGAATTGCTACCCTGCCTTCTGGAAAGCCCGCTAGCCCTCCTGGCTTAACGGAGACTGCTTGTGTTCTTGCAGCTGGCAGTTTCAGGGAAATGGACAGCCAGGAGATGTCCCTGACTCCTGCTCCAGGAGGCAAGCTTGACCTATATCTCAGCTCTGCTGTCCACACCTCACCACCTTTAACCTGGCCCAGAATGATAAGACAAATAGCTGGTTCAGAGAAGGAGGGCCGGGAGCAGGAAAAGCTGGATGAACCCATTGGTGGCAACCCTCCCTGCAGGCTACAGCTTCCAGCTTCTCTAGGATGTAGGGAGGAGATTGTCACGGAAACTCCTGAGTTGGAAGTGCATCCTCTAGGGAGCTGTGTGTGGAGGGGGAGTAGAGGAAGATTGGCTTAGTGGCCAGCCGTGGTTCTCCTGAGTTGGACCTAGGGATGTCCAGGGAATTGGGTAGGCTGGGGCCCGGAGTGAAGTTTTCCAGGTGCCTACTAAGAGTCCCTGGAAGTCTGTGGTCTGCATCCAGTTTGTCTGCTCCAGGGACTTGTGTGTCTGTTGGAAGCCAGTGGGAGGCAGGAAGGGTCACAGTCACCACATGAGCTCTTTATAGCCACACAGAAGGCTCCAGGAAGCAGCTTGATGGGGCTAGTTGGCTCCGTCTTTCCAGAGGGCTGGAAGGAGAGAGGACTTGGGTGGCTGCTTGTCATCCAGGGCATCAGAGGATCCCAGGAGGGGATCTGGCAGGATAGGAAGGAGGGAGCAAGTTGGGAGCCCTCCTGTCTGCGTTCCTGTTCTTGTTTCAGGACTTGGGCCCTGGCAGGCCATCAGGACTCTGCCCTAAATCAACCCCAATATGAAAGAGCAAGGGAACCCGATTCCCATGAGAGCTGTGGGAGTGGCAGGTGGGGAAGAGCAAGAGGTCATGGATTGGATGACCCTTCCTGACCCATCTTCTCCCCAGTGTCCTGTTATATCTGTGGCTGATATTGACTGAACTCAGGGAAGATCTCAGTCTTCTAATCCAGAGGCAGAGAGCCTGGAGAGCAGAGAAGAGTCATCTTTACTTGGTAGATAGCATGGTCTTCCCTGTGTTAGCCCAAGGAAATGGGGGCATCAAGGCTGAGGCAACTTCCCAGGCACACAGCCCCAAGAGTGAAGCCTGGTTTAGGATGCTGGCATGTCCAGCTCACAGCCCCCACCCCTGAAGCTGCTTGAGGGAAGGAGAGATCTTGCCTTAGCCTGGCCTAAGAGGAGAGATGTTCTACAGATTCATGTTTTTCAGAGATATGGGGAGCAAGGGGCCCCAGCACTCATCAGCCTAAAGCTCTGTGCTGGTGTCTGTGCTGTGGTATGGCTTGGGCAGATCTTGGAAGGAAGATACTGGGGCTGCCACAGTGCGACTTCTATTCCAGAGGAGGATTTAGGATCCTGCCTCAGGTGCCAAACTGATTGTGCCTGAGTTTTTAGTAGGACAAGGCTGTGTCCCTGTGGTTCAACTTCTCGGGGTAGTGTGTACAGTTGTTCCTGTGCCCATCCAGAGCCTGGCTGAGGATTTGCCTATTGGGAAGAGAAGGACATCAGCTGCAGGGCATTACCATAGCAGTGTGGGTCTCGCCTCTGGTCCTGTTGGAGGCAAGCTAATTCAAAGTCTCCCAATTCCCCTAGCCTCTTTCTGCTTGGGAAGTCAATTGTTTTGGTTTTGGAGTTTTTGACATGAGGTAGCCTTGTCTAGAAAAGTCCATGCATGGCCACACCCAGCTAGGCTTTGCCTTCACAAAGGCAGGTGGGTGGTGGCCAGGATGGTGGGCTGTCTGGAAGATCTCTGTAGTCTAGGCCTGTAGGGTTGGGTTGGAATGGTGAATACTTTGACTGTTAGAAAGAATTCAGGAAGGGAGAAGATGACATCTCTGCACCAGGTGTTCTTGGGTCTGGCTGTCTGGGCTTGCAGGGATTGTGGGTTTTTGGCTGGGGGTACCAAGATAAAAGCTGGATGTCACTCTGAGCTGCCACAGTGTCCCTGGTGTTTGGCATTTATCTAGTACCTGTTTTCCCTTGCTTTTCCTGAAGATAGTTTCTGGTTGGCTGAAGGGTGACTTGGGGCTTTGGGTGCTACATAGCTCCTGAACCTCTCCCTTACCAGGGATCAAGGGGAGAACCAGCCTTGACAACTGCCAATGAGAACTGGGGTCCAGTAAAGTATGAACCAGCCCTAAGGGTATCTGGAATTCAATTGGGGCCTCAGCAAGGTGCTCAGAGCCCCAGGATTGTGTGTGTGGGGGTAGGCCTGTAAGATGGGCATATGCATGAGGGGTCTTTAGGCTGAGATTTGGAAGAGAAATTGGTTACAGCCCCAGGAAAACACTTGCTTTCCAGGTGAAAGCTGGGGACCCTTTACTCCACTGGTCTTGGGATTTTACACTGAGGCAGGGCTCTTGATCCATAATCTCCAGCCCTGCAAACTGAGCAGGTCAACTGCAATACCCTCCTGTACCCAGGGCACCAGCCCTGCAGTTCCTGGACCCTGAGAACAGGGCAACTTAGGGAAAGACAGCCCAGCTCGGCCATGGCTTTGAGGGTAGATGGATTTTGGCACCAAGAGGGCTGTGTTGTGGCCTGAGATGGTGGCCTGAGATGGTTCTTGGGGTCCTGCAGGGCTTTGGCTGCTCTCTGGCTGGCTGAGGTGGAGGGTGGTATGATAGGAAAGGCCCTCTTTTGGATTGCCCTTGACAGAATGGTGGTATCACTCCTGTGGCTTGAGTTCCCTGACCCATGATGCATTGAGCAGCTCTTCCAGTGTTCATGGGTGTCTCATTATGGCCTTCAGGTGGCCAGTGGCAGACTAGAAGTAGGGAAAGGGGTACATCACATGAGGTACATCCTGGTGTGCTTCTATCTCCCTTGAGCTATATGAGAGGGCTGTAGGCTTTCTGAGCCTGTGAATTCAACTTTGAATTGAGGCCATGGGGCAGAGTGTCCCTTTCCACTTGGACATCTGCCATTCCAGGGCCCAAGGAACATCCCTTGGAAGGCTTAGCCAGGCCACTGGGCCCATTCTTTGGGATTGTGACAACCCTTATTATACTGCCAGAAGGTCACAGGGTGCTCCCTCACTGGCCAGGGGCTGCTGGCCATTTCCCTCTGCTTTTTTTTTTTTTTTTTTTTACTCCTTTAGAGAACTAAGTCTATCCAGAATCTGTGATACACAACACAATTTGGAGTCAACTGCTCAGACCATATGTCATACTTAGGAATGTTCCAGGGCCTGCAGTTTCTCCCTCATAGGCTGGACTCTGACCTACATGGCCCATGGCATTTTGTACCCTATGGTTGGGGGCAGGAGATGTCCTTTGCATAGGTTCTCACCCTTGTTGGAGCAAGGATTGCTGCTGAAGTGTGAGAAGAAAACACAATCATTTCTATTTCAAAGCGTTCTTGCCTAGAAAAGGGAATATTTAATATTTAATGTATGGATTGAAGATATCTAAGCATATAATTTAATAAATATGAGTGTTTTGGGGTTGCAAGATAAATTTTTTATTGCTGAATCGTGTGTAATCAAAGCAGCATGGTGCCCTGTGTTCCTGTGATTGGAAAGCCCTGGGCTTGAGAGGGAGATGAGTGGGGACCAGGGAGATGAGCCTGAAGGCCCTGATTCTCCTGGCTGTTGCCCAAAGAAGCATTTGGTGACCTAGGTGGTCAGTTGGTGGGATCAGGTGAGACTGGATCAGAGAAAGGATCTCAGCTC